AAAATAGTGGTGAATAAATAACTCTGGGTGCCAAAATGCCAGCTGAATACTCGTCGAGTGCACAGGAATTCCTTATGAACAAGAATGATGGTGGTATCTGACAGTATGGCTTTATAAACCTCCTGAGTGGAAAGCAAAACACTTTTTTTTTCTTATTTCTCCAACTATTTCATAGGAGATGGAGTGACAATCTTGTTGCTCTGTGGTGATGGAGAGTGTTGAATGAAATGAAGGGCACATTGAAGTTAAGGCAGTTAAAAATGAACATGACTTTTTTGTAAACACCCCACTTCCCTCGGGACAATAATTTTTCATGCTGCTCCAACTTTCTTTTAAAAGGCAAAAACATAACGTACCAAAACCACAGCACTGTTTTTCCTTGCTGAGTATTTTCAAGATTGTATTAGCTCCAGATGTAGGTGTGGAAGGAGAAGTGGCCGGTAGGTAGAATGTGGGGGTGCCTGAAGTTTTCATAATTTAGTTTTATGTTTTATGCTTTTGCCTTTGACATCGCACACTCTTGCATGGGCGTATTTTTTGTATTGCCAAATCAAAATAAATTAATAGACAATCTTAATTTGCAGATTTCTTTTAGGCAGTTGAATGTAAAAGGAAAAGATAGGGTTCAGCACTTCAACCTGAAGTGATGCTTCAGAATGAGCTTAAAACTCAGTAAAAGCATTCCTAAGCAACATTTGAATTCATGCATAGGTGTGGTACACTTAATGTGTTTCAAGCTGCAAAACTAAAGCTATGGCAGTATTCGGTGAATGAAAGGTTAATAAGAATTCAGGTGTTAATCTAGTTCTGTTCTAGCTGCAGCTTCTGGTGCAGTAATGCCTCCTTGGCTTTTAGACTGCCTCTGCAAAAGGGATGCTAGTGCTTTTGGTCTTTCATATATCTACGCATATACAGACTGCTTGGACAGCTGTTAAGTATTACTGTGCAAGCTTTTAGCTGCTTGTCACTGAAGGTAACCTCTGCTAATCTGCCATGCTGGGAGAGCTACTGCATTTCAGGGGTGTGCAGTGCAAGGCCAAGTGGTGCCACTGGGCAGTGCAGGACGAGCAGGCAAGTGGGACTGTGGGACTTTGCCAAGGGCACTTGTGGCCAAAGTCTTGGGTTTTGTTGACCTTCTTTCACTATATTGTCAACTGATCAAAACATCTCGTGTGCTGCACTTAATGTGTTAATTAATCCCAAGAAGATTTATGGTATCTTGAAAGGGTTTAGAAAACACAAGTGCAAATACTGAGATGAGGGTGGGAAGGTCGCTCGAAGACTTTTTGCCCTACTTTTCTGCCTTGTCACAGGAGTAATGACAGGGCAAGAATGGGAAGGCTACTGGGAGTCCATGTGAAAATAAGCATTGGAGGAATCCGGGGATCAGGGTGGGGAATGTGTGTGCTGGATGTGCCACACAACTGTTGTATACCCTGTGCTCCAGGCGATGGGTGGGAAGATGGCATCTCTGCACCAGTGTTTTTCTACTGCTTAGGTGTACTGCACTGACTGCAGCACTCTGTGCCCTCTGAATCCAGTGCCGATTTCCTCAAGTGTTAAAATGCTACTTCAGATCTGAAAATAGAGGAGAGGTATAACAAAAGCAGCTGGAAGGAGGTAATGGAATAGGAAAGAGGCTGATGTCAAGAGCCATGTTTGTAGAGAGGACATGCTGCAAAGATGCTTTAGGAAAATGTTCTTGAAGTTTTTCATCTCCTCAGCTCTTGTAGAGAGTCATATAATGGTTTGGGTTGGAAGGGACTTCAAAGATGATTCAATTCTAAGTTCCCTACCATGAACAGGGACAACTTCCACTAGACTAGGTTGCTCAAAGACCCATCCCAGCTTGGCCTTGAACACTTCCAGAAGTGGGGCATCCACAGCTTTGCAGGGCAACCTGTTCCAGTGCCTCACCACTCTCACAGTAAAGGATTTCTTCCTTATATCCTCTCTAAATCTGTCCTCAACCAGTTTAAAGCCATTCTCCATTATCCTATCACTACGTGTCCTGGTAAAAAGTCCCTGTCCAGCTCTCTTGTACTCCCCTTTTGGGTACCGAGAAGCCACAGTAAGGTCACCCTGGAACCTTCTCTTCTCCAGGATGAACAACCTCATCTCTCTCAGCCTGTCTTCTGGACCTCCTCTGGACTTACTCCAAGAGGTCTACATCTTTCTTGTGCTGGAGACCCCAGAGCTGGACACCGTACTCCAGGTGGGATCTCATGAGCATGGAATAGAGGGGGAAAACCACTTCCCTCAGCTTGCTGGCCACAATGCATTTGATGCAGCCCAGGATGCAGTTGGCTTTTTGGCCTTCAGGTGCACATTGCTGAGTCATGTTGAACTTCTCATCCACCAACACAGCCAAGTCCTTCTTCTTGGGACTGCTCTGAATCCAATCTCTGCCCAGCCCATACTTGTGCTTGGAAGTAAAATGACTGTCCTAACACAGCTTTAGCAAAGTGCAGTCTCCCTCCTTGCTGTTATTTCAGAATGGATGGGATGTGGAATGGGAAGGGAGCAGTAGCGCACTTTGTGGTCTGTCTTTTCCTTTTGATTCTCTACTTCATTGCATCCAAGAGGGCTTTGGCAACACAAATTCCCCTTCAAGGCATACAGCATGTGTCAGGCTATATAATCCATCCAATGTTCCCAGCTATTCAGCAAACTAAAAGAATGGGTGAGGGGAATGAAGTCAGTAAGAAATGCGTTGTATTGATGAAATCCTGTTCTTCTGCATATAATTTCAGTATCTAGTTTCTTTAAAATTCAGATGACTTCCACATCACAAATATAGTTCATACAAACACCCCCACTTGGAATAGACCTTATATGGTGATTTATTTTTTGATGAAGATGAAAAAGAGAAGAAAAATGCCTTGCTTTCTGTGTGGTGAGAAAAGGCAGGCAAAAATGTTTGAATAGTAATTATCATGGCCAAATAATTCCACAGTTATCAAAGTGATTACTCTTGGGTGAAATAATCAAAAAAGAAGGTATACAGAGAGTTGAGCATAAACAAAATAAGGCAGAAGAAAAAATTGCTGACTCTTTTCTCTCTCTAACTCCTTTTGTGGAGTTTGAGATGCCTTTCTCTTGCCAAGTCAGATGATGAACCACTTGTTAATTAAGTGGTTGAAAAATGTAGTTGAAAAAGGAGTTCAGAATCTGAGACAGCTCAGCATGGAGGAAACCATCTCTGTGATCAATTCTGTCACTTTTTGACACCTTAATTAAAGTTATCCCTGGCAGTGTAAAGGCAGCTCAAGTGCTGGGAAAAGTGGACAGCCAAGTGTTTTGTTATGGTCATTTGGGAACAAGGGCACTAAAGGGATCAGCAGCCAGTCCTGTTTTCCACCAGGAAGAGACAACTGTAGGCATCGTGGTGTGGTGGGCATGGAGCACCAGGACAGATCTGGGCTGGCTCAGGCAGATCGCTTCCGTGGTGGAGCACGACAGCTTGGGACTGCAAAACATTAGGATCTTCTCTGGTGACCGTGGCTGATGTTTCATGTGATTCTGTGCCAGCCATTCTGTCACCCAGCACTTCTGGTCTGCATCACATCTTTAGCCTCTCTTTCTGACATTTAAACTACGTAGGATGGCAGTTGTCTCTCAATCCATACGCTCCGTCCCTAGCGGGAGTGGGGTGGTGAAAAGTGGGATGGTGATCTTGAAGAAGTCCTTATGTTACTGGGGAAATGGTAATTTAACTGTGGAGAAGTGGAAAAAGTTGAGGTCTTGTTGGAAGAACTGATTTTAGTTCTGGCCAAGTTGTTTAAAATGAGCTATGTTTAATGAAATGTCTAAAAAAAAGAGGAAGACATATTAGTATGAGTGGGAAGAAAAATAATTGTCCTGTCATAGTTATGTAAAAAAATATATAGTTTATTATGGCAAACAATAGATTTTTCTACTTGGTTGCTGAACCAGATTGTTCTTAAAAAAATCTGTAGACCCCTTGAGCTTTTCTTTTTTGACTGAATGTTACATTTGATTTGGAGGGGTTAATTCTTTTGCATCTAATTAAATTTAGGCTGGTTTGACATTAAAAAAAAAAAAGTTTCACAATGAAAAAGTATTTCTTTAGAATATGTTGAAATGCAACATTTCAGCGTCTTTGGAAACAAGAAACTCTCAGAAAATTTCACAATGAAATATGCACTGTTCCAAGATCCCTCCTGCCTTTTTTGTTTTGTTTTTCTTCAGTTTGTTTATTTTGTGGAAGATTCCCACCAACTGTGGGCTGGATTCAGATATAAAGTTTTTCTCTCTGTCACAGCCTTTTTCAATGAATTTTCTATTCACAAAAAAATTGTTTCCATCCGGTTTTAGCTGTGTTCTTTGCAAAATGCTTATTTTCCTTGGAGAATTCAGATGGAGGAAAAAAATAAAATCTGTGTCACTTCCAAGTTTACTTTCATGGATCCACGACCTTCCCTTGATGTGTGTGACACTTTACCAATCACTCAGGTGATTGGTAAAGAGAAATGTATCATCTAGTTTCCTCAAGACAGAAAATGAAAGATCCTGATAAAGGAAATGAGCCCATTTTAAAAAGTTTATGAGGGAGAGCTTTGTTATGAAGCACAAAAAAAGAAAACACATTAAAAGCCTGTTGGGCCCCATCTGTTAATGAGATTCCTTTGATGGGAATCTAACTCTGAAGGCTGAGCACAGAGCAGATCATTGCTTCTTTTAAGTAGTAGTTACAAATGGATATTTATGTTCTTCTGCAATAATTGGCAAATATGTTTTTAGTAGTGTTCTTTCCAGTAAATAAATTAGCATCAACCAGTAACTGCTTAGTGGCTAGTAATCAGAAGTACTATACTTAAATGGATAGGTCAGCTCAAGAGAGAGATTGTTATAATATTATTATTTAATATTTATGCTGTTTAGTCTAGAGAAGGCTTGGGCAGTTAGAGCAATCAATGTATATAAAAGGCTTTTGCAAGAAGAGCATAGGGTGTTTATTTTTTTATGTTACTGTTTAGGGCACAAAGCTCAAGCCAAGGAGAATGAAGATGAAGGGCTGATGGCACAAGTGGCTCAAGAATTTCTCCTGTTTGCTGGACGCCCCTTGCTCAGCCCCAGCTCCAGCTGCTCACTGTCTCAGTCATGCTGATATGAATCTGTGTAAATGACAAAGCAGATTGCTCCAATGAGCCAGGTTTAGAATAATAATAATAATTCTCTGCTGAGTGGATGGAAGGGAGCTGAGAGCCTGAAAAAAATTGAAAAAGCCCTGGATGGCTGTCTTCTTGATAGAAACCCAAACCTTTTTTGTCAGCGACTCCATACGCGTGGTAACAGTCCAAATTACAGAGTCACAGAATCAATTAGGTTGGAAAAGACCTTTGAGATCGTTGAGTCCAACCTATGGCTTGCATAACTTGTCAGTTTGTTGGGAATGGGAAACTGTGCTCCACTGAGGTTCTAACTCAGTGGCTCCAGTACAGACTGCACTGGGCAACTTCCCTGTGTCCAGAGGTGTCCCTGCCCTCAGAACTTGGATTATGTTGAGGGTAAAACAGCTGGATAATTGAACCAAGCCTTGCAGATTTGAATTTCTGTTGTGACTCTGTCTCAGACTCAAGGGAAGGAGTTCATATACTTAGTGGCATTGATCAGTATTTTCCCATGGAAAATGAGGAAGGACTTTTGAGGAGAAAATTGGGAATACAAGCCAATAAGAAGTGAAATAAGGTCTATACTCAGTAAAAGGGTCCTTGGGAGCATGATGGAGATACAGTGACAGTCTGCCATGAGCGAGTTCCATGGCAGCTACCAGTCTTTAACCTATTTTCCTAATTTTTCTTGGTAAAGATCATTTTTGGTATGCAAGCACTATATATATGTGATTTGCCTTCCCACCAACACAATTGTAAGGTAACACTAATAATTCTATTTTGTCTCTGATTTTAAAAGTCAGAGTGCAATTGCCTTCTTTGTGATCGCTTCTATTTATCATGTACATATTTGCATATATTACTGAAAAGGTTTTTATAGTTTTTTGAGTATCTTTGTTATCATATAGCTCTTAATATTTTAATTATATAAAGAGAGGTGAGCTGCACTACTGAAATGAAATCCGGATCTTTACCTGTAGAAAGCATTTCATGTGCCAGAAGCAACATAATTTTCTGACTGAATTAATCTTTTCTTTTTTATCCCTGGAAGCTTCTTTCCAGAGGAAATTTCAAAATCCGACCCTTCCATTGTGATTGGGAATGCGTTTTGGTTTTGTTTCAGTTTCCATGGCAACAGGAAAATTTGTTTTCTGACAGTCACTGAACACAAAGCTCTTATTTCCCTGTGCTGTTTTGAATACATCAGTTTACATTTTTATCCCATCAAGTATTTTGAATCCCTCTCCTTAATCTCTTGACTCCATTTAGCTCTGTGAAAACCAGTCTGCTTCTCCTTAGTCAGCACAGACAGGTTTTTTTCCATACTTTCTTAATTCTTCAGATATAATTTGATTCAGTGTGCCGATATCAGAAATACAGTCACATTTTACACTTAGACTAAAAGTTCAATTCTTTCCTTAAAGGAGCATTATTACTTTTTAAATTACTTCTAAGCACTAAACTTATTTCAAATCTGGCTTCAAGGTTGTGGAATATAACCTTTGTCATTTTAAAGTCAGGAGCTTACTTGTCTGTTATGTTTTGCTTACATTCTTATATCTTACGCTGTTTGACATGCTGATCAGCCAGTCCATGAGTGTTCTTGAAGAGTGCCATCTACATGATCATTAAATTTTGTGCTGTCTCCTGCAACTTCAAACATAATATATTAATTAATTCCTGAAGAGATGCCAGACCTCTGTGGTTTGCAAAGCTTCATCATTCACTGTGTGAATTATGAAATCTCATTGTATTTAACACTGACATCATCTATGCCACCAAATTATCATAACTGCTAGAAAGCTTCAAGATATATGGCTTAAATATAAGCAGCCTCTTAAGTAGGAATGTGAAAGAAGAAAGGTGCATGACAGTCTTAATGTTTTGGGCTTTGCCTTCCTGTTAGCTCCCTCCACAGGTATTTGTGGAATAAATCTCCAATAAATTTGTGTCCCAGCAGAAAGTGTTTCATCTGTGGATCTGCTGTAAATGCTGTTTTGCCACTCTGAGCCTGGACAGTTTTCTTCCCTTAGTTCCTCTCCAGCTGAGCTAGAATACATGCATGGCTCCTTAACGGGAGGGAAAAGTATTTCTAATAAGTCCCAAAACCTCCCCCTACCCTTTGTCTCTTCTCCATAAAACCAAACCAAGGCAGCACTCATAGAACCTGGCTGTGCAGATATACATCCTTCCCCTATTTTAATAAAGGAGAAAAGAGGCAACAACACTGACGTGAGTTTCTGGCAGCAGAAATTAAGGGGGCAGTGCAAACCTTTGAACTCTGCTTTGCCACCATAACCGTCGAAGAACTTTAGAAAAGAATTGAAAAAGCTGATCTTGTATCACAGCTTCTGGGGATAGAGAATATTTTGGAGGACAGCTGGTACCCTCAGTAGGTATTTCCAGCTGCTTCCTAACTCTTTAGAGAATGTTGTGCTCATAGAAGGTAACTTTCATTTCATTAAAGCATTTAACTTCCAGCATAGTTTATTTGGGCAGTTATATGCAGTCTTTTTTTTTATTTACAGGCTTTTGCTGTATTTATCCATACCTTCAGTGTAGTTGCTTCTCATTATTAATAGATACTTATATTATATAGACTTTCTTGATGCTGATACAATCAAGTGTTCCATTAATGTTGAGATCTGAGGTTAATTATGCGCTCTGCACTCCTGTTTGAAAGTCATGATATAACTGGTCTGCATTTTTAATTTTTGCTCTCAGTGAAATATAGCCAGTTTGTATTCATTACCAGCATAGTTATTTATAACTACATCTGATTTTTCTTTTCTTAGTTGTTAGATCTTTTATTGCTTTCCTTGCATGGATTATCTGAGAAAAGTGCATAGGCTCTAAATTGTGGGAAGGATCAATTCTTATATCTTAATATGTACCAGGCAAACCTATCGTTGCTCAGCTGATTTGAGAGTTGTTTTGCTTTTAGATAAATATTTTTGAGACTGTATCTATTTATGACTTTAGCCTCTTGTGAATTGTTACTGGAGGTCATCTGTTGTTGATTCAAAAGTATCAGTTAATCATGCTGGAAAGGGAACATGGGTGAACATGGATTTCTTCCTGTGGGAAAGTGAGTAATCATTTTTGTTATAGATTAGTTCACTAGAAACTGCGAAACTGTATTCCAGTCCATGCCTTTGTAAATGTTTAAAATAACATTTTCAATTTCTGAGAGTGTAAAGAAACAATTTGTTTTTCCAGCATCTGTCCCTACTCAGTCAAAAAAAGTTAGCCTGTAATGAATACAGGAAAGCCACTTACAGTATAAAATCAAATGTCAGAAAAAAATACATTGCTCAAGTATCTGATGATTCTTGATGCTTCATTTTCATCTCTTGATATATTCAGGTAGGAGGTGCTCAAATAATTCTTAAACCCCAGAATTTTCATTGTATCCAAATGAATGTCCTTCCTTATTAAATGCTGGAGGCTTTGGAATAATTCAGAATACTTTGTATCAAAACATCTTTATTTCTTCTCATCCCTTCCATAAATAGTGTTAGGAGCGGACTAGAAAGCTGAAGCTCTGGTTGCTGCAGAGGACAGACAGATGTGCTACTCTCAGCAATATGAATCTGTGGACCTCAAATGGACTTGTGTGAGGAGAAAGACCGAATCTACAGCCCAGCCTGAGCCTTGTAACAGAGCACATGTGTAGGGGAGAGGTGAAGGACTCTTCTCCTCCCAGCCTGGTGAAGAGCTGTGTCTTTGTTCTTTGGAAGTCACTGGCAAACAAAGACATCTTTGTGGTTCTCAGCCAGAGCGAGGTGATGGAGAGAGCAATTTAGGCACTTCTTCCTTTGTAAACTCTTTGGACTGGAAGGCGTAGTCTGGAGCCAAGGAGTGATATCAGGAATTAATTACCTCCATGGACAAGAAAATTAATTTCCAATTATTTTACAAGCTGCAGTCTTCTAGAACTTGTCTTGTTAACTGCCATCTACATCAGAAAAACAGCTCCAATTTCATTGTTGGTGCAAAGACCATCAGAGATTTATAGATGAAACCAAGGAGTCTGGGCAGTCACAGCTATGCTCAGTGGGTTTCAATAATCCCTGTACCACAGACCTCTCCAGTCCTTCTGTTTCTGATCTCCATCCATGGGAAGTGTTTGTAAATTTGGGTTTGGAAAGGTCCTATGTTCTAGGCCATCATGTTCTCTCAACAGAGGAGAGTATTAAAGCTGTCCCACAGGGCACATTGGCCTTTCCAGGGGAAGGGCATTATGGTTTACTGTAGTACAAAACCAGATCTACTACATTTTTAAATGTTTCTTTTAATGAAATTTCTCTCTGAATTGCTTTTATTCTTTATTTTTCTTTCCTAAGACAGTGTGGGATAGCAGCATTCTATCAGCATTAGAAAAATGAAATTTTTGTTTACTTTGTTACTTTGTGACAGCTGGCTTTGACAAAAATGGTGGATTGATTTTATCTTGTCAGCAAATTATTTCCATTCATCTGCAGCCCTGGAAACCTGCTTGGATCTTGAAAGTGCGTCTGGTCCCAGTTTCAAATTGAATTGTCTCATTTTTATTTGACATGAGGGAGCATGGGCACTTACATCATAATTTCATTTCTGTGCAACACAATCCAAGGAGAAATCACTCACCCCATTCCTCCCAGTCCTCTCCCATCCCCAGAACAAACTTTGGTACCTCTCAGCTCTAACTGTCTGTCAGGTCTAAGCTTTCTGGAAGGTATTTATGGCATAGAAGAACTGTTAAGGGAAACGTGCCTCCTTCTGTGAATTCCTGTTAGTGTGCATAAGCTTTCCTTGGGAACACTGAAGATGCATTTAATTCCTCATATTATCAGTGAACTTCTCTTTATGTCCAGTGACTACCATTCTTTGCAAGGTCCTTTTGACTGAGTAGATATAGCGGGATGATAAGAAGGTATCTGACAAGAGTTTGCTATTGGGATCTGGCAGCCTTTTCTGTTAGTTAACACTCATGCTTTTGAGCTTCCCAAAGGTTCCCACTTTTAGGAACCTAAAAATGGTCAAAGTAAGTTGCAAACTAAACAGTGACTGGAACATACCTCTATTTGACATCTCTCTGAACATCACAGATATTTTTGGTAATAGAAGGTCTGAAGATACGTGAGTGGGCTGAGTTCATTAGAAGACATCATTGTAGCCTAATTGATTGCAATTAACTTTTGCCCTCAAAACACAGAGCAGAGAGTCCCAGCTGAGCTTCTCTGGAGGTCAGAGTTAGCTGAGACATGGGAAAAGCAGCTGGTAGCAGGCAGCCACTAAACAAATGAAACCTCTTTCTAGTCAGAGCCGGAACTGTGAAAAGGTGGTAGCAGAGGAGGAATCACTGACCATTCTGGAATTTTCACATCCTGTCCTGAGCATTTATCAGCTGTAGTAGTTGCTTCATTTCATTTAATTTCAAAACAAGGCATTTGCTTAAAAATATATTTTGGTGAGTGCAGTTCCTGGTAGAGTGAGTGAGAGCCTGAGTGTATTAACTGATAAACTGGCTTGGAAATGGCTTGTTAGCATAAAGAGCAAATATGAGATTGAGCAGTAGCTCATGGTAGTCCTCCCAACTCCTCAGCCTGACATGCGCCCAGCCTATGACTAAAGGAGATAAAATAGAAAGAGTATGAGTTAAGAAACCTGGGGGTTTGGTAATTGTAAATGAATTACACTGTAATGCAGTTTTTGTTTGTCTTTGGTATAACTGATAGCAACTGGCACGTCCATTGCTTATCAATACAAGCAGCAAAATGTACTGTTACTAAATGTTTCTGAGGCTCAGTAAAATGTTTATTTTAAGTTTTTTAACATGTTATTTCCCTTAATAACACTTTGGATGCAGTAAAATTTTCTTTTCTCTGTTTCCTTATGTCTGCATTGCAGGACAGACAGATTGACCTTCTGTAACCTGCCTGGAAAAGGGCAGTGGAGACTTGGTATACCATATATAAAACCATATATATATACATATACATGTATAGCTTTAAAGATTTTACAGATCAATGTGATTTCTAAAAGAGATTTTGGGCAGTGTTTTTGCATGTTCTCTATAAAAGAGAACAACATTATTTTGAGAAAAAATATTTCAAAAGGCTGGAGTGTTTGCTTTTCATCTGAGGCATCCAGACTTTTTATTAGCAGTATTAAAATACTTTTAGAGACACATACCCCTTCATGAAACTGATTTCCAGCTGATCTCTCCAAGTATAGTTATTAACAGCCTGCTCCAGAGGGTCAGTGTGCATCATCAAGAAAAAATAGATACAAAATAACTCTTTAATTATTTTAGGATTGGCTAATGTAGCTCAAATTTATAATGAATCTCTGATTGGAAGTGGAACCCAAACGCTTTCTTATGTTTTCCTTTGGTTTACTGGATAGGAGCAGAAATTGTAGAGCCAATAGTTAAAATTTTTGAACACTTTGTTTGAAAATAATATTTTACAGTGATCTCTTGCCTTCTGTGGCCATTAGAGAGATTTTCCTAAGCAGTCTGATGCATTAGTGCTCATAACTCTAGTTTGTGACTATGATTATTTCTTGATGCTGAGTGAAGCAAGAGATCATAAAATCAAAATGCAAAGCTTTTAACTGTACTCTTGGCTAGCTGGAAATCAACATCTTTGCTAACTGGACAGAAACTGGACTAAATGATGAATTCATCTGACTGAAAAATTGGATAGATTCTCCCAGAAGATGGCAGTGCACCTATGAGTACTGTTCTGCCAACTTTGTAGGTTATATAATTTCTAGCTGTTTTTCCAATATTGAGCACAATAACAAAAAAAGTAGAGACAGAAACTGTGTGGATACTGATGGTACTTTTGATCTTGAAATCTGAAGTAAGTACTAGTAATTCACAAAGGCCTGTCTTGCAGGGATGGTGACAGAGTAGATGCTTTTGAGGAGGCTGAAAAGTTACTTGTCATTTTGCTACACTCATCAACCTAACATAGATCCCCTTTCCACTGGAGTCCTTCAGATAATTCCAGTGCAAAAAAGAATGACTACATCCAGAGCTTGAAAATATGTCTGGGTTCTCAAATTGTCATTGTTCTCAGAGGAATGGATATTGTAGGGTAAGAGTTACTAAGAAGTGGAATAAATGATGAGATTTGAAAGTCTCGCCATGTTTTATCTTTGCTCCACTGTTTCCCATCAAAGAATTTCTTCATTCAGATAGGGATCAAAAACATGTGTTCAAAAATACCAAATAAGACTACCTCCGTATTAGGTGTAGTCTAAGAGCAATCAGTAATTGCTGAAAAAGTAGGGAAATTTCCAGTTCAGTTTTCAAAGAAGGAGTCTAAGTGTGGGTTTTAAAACATGTAATCAAACCAGAGCTACTTAACCTTTCAAAAATTGATCCACTCCTTATAATTTTATTTATTGCAGAATTAGAAGTAGGGAATGATAATATCCCTTTTAAAAATCATCTCAATATATAACTATCATTTGCAAGTAAAACCCAGTAGTTGTTCTATAGCTACCATCTTATGAACTGTTTGATATGCATATTTACTTCTATAAGCAAGTTCTTTTTTTGTGATTTTTTTTTGTACCTGAATGAAGAGAGGTTTGTAAAGAGTGGAGAGGGAAAAGAGCAATGCTTACATGTAAATTTTGAAACTAAACCTTTCCATCTCCATGTTCTGTCTTATCCAGAATTACTACCAGTAAGCTAAAGCACATTTAAATATTTATTCTCTGTAGCTTACTCTGAAAAAAAAAAAAAAAAAAAATTCTGTTCTGGCTCATTTGTAACTATTTACTTAGTTTTCCAAACAGTAAAAATGCACTAGCAGGAACAAGAAAAAGAAAAAAAGAAATTGCAGCTGTTTCTTCAACATTAAGAAGAGATGAAAAAACAATTGTGTGCTCTTATTCTGCAGTCAGATATAATTGCATATTCTTGTCCTACTGCTTAGACACTGTGGATGCTAATTTTACTAAATTAACACATGCTGCATCATTTCCTTTGCACAAAGCCCAAAACCAAGCAAGAAATTAAAATTTAGTTGCTTTTTTTTGTTTGTTTTCTTTCAGTTTTCAGTTTCCTCCTCCTCCAGTAAGTCATGGGAGCTGCAAGATACATTGGGTTCTTAATTTTTTAGATGTCAAGCCTTCATTTTAAAAGTGTATTTGTTTTTCTCACAGAGCAAGCATCTTTAGTTTCTTTTAGGGCCCATCTGTGGTTGACCCTGTCATGACAATAAACTCAGTCAGACAAAGTCTTCCTTAGCACCTGAAGAGACACAGCAGCACCTCCATATTCAAATGGCCAGCAGACCTCTCTAGCCCATCTTTAGTGGCCAAACCCACAGTTCATATGGTGTATGAAGGGGGCAGCAGTGATGGATATGATCTGTTCACCCACTCACTAGTAGAGCCTATTGCCAACACCCACTTCACCTAAAAATCTACCTTTCACTACTGGCAGGCATCCGTGTCCTTTGTCAGGAGAAGATTCACACTAAACCACAAGCTCCCTCTTCCCAGTCAACTTTTTAACATCACTTTCCTGGTGCTTGCACGACTCACAGTGCTTGTGTGACTGACAGAGCTTTTGGGTTCTGTGCAGCTGCTCAAACTGCTGGCATTTGCTGCTGCCTTTGTGTAATCTGGATATGCTGTGACATGTAAATGATGCTGCTTGCTATTTCCTTGTTCCTACTGTTTAAAATCTCAATAAAAGTGAAAAATACCACTACACAAACTGCAAATATCTCATCTGGCTATTCCACAATAAGGAAAGCTACCTCAGCACCAATAAAATACTTACATTACTTTCTTTGTGTATTTTTCCCTGTGTTTCTTAGTGAATTCTCCATCTTTAATGTCACCGCTTCAGGTAAACCCAACCTTGTTATTTGGTCTACAAGTGTTATTCTGGCCAAATTCTGGAACTTCTATGAAAGCAAATGGTATTTACATTAGGGACAATAAAGACATTACTAAAAATGAAGGATCACAACATGGGACATTCAGTAGGGTCAGTGGCTCACAGAGCATTTTTCTTTGTTTTGTGAACTGCATGTGACTTACCAATAAAGTTGTCATACTTTCTGTAATTAAAACATTAAAGTTATCTTCTATAATGGGCTATTGTGATTAAATTTTTCAAAGGTATGTGCCTATGAACTTCACCTGATACTTTCTTGTAGTAGTAGGTTTAGGGTTATGTGTTTTGAGGGGGTTTTAAAGTGATTTCATATCCAACCACATTTTTTCCCTACCTCTTGGAGTGTTTTCAAAAATTAACTCCCAGGCCAGCCCTCACCTGAAACTCATCCTTTTTATGGAATTTTGTCAATAGATAGCAAAAAAAAAAAGGGGGGGGGGATAAAAGGGATGCTTCAGTGGATCATGTAGGCATCAGAAATGGCTCTCACTTGACCACTTTGTTTTGGCTTGTCCATAATCCTGCTACAGTCCCTGATGGTGTAGCTTCACAATCTGCTGCTCATACTCTGTCCCACTGCCAACGAATTCTATGCAGTCCACTGCATCCATTGTTCTGCAAACCAGTCATCTTACTCAGATCGGGTGCCCTGAAGGTCCTGGGAAGGAAACCAGATCCTCACACAGCTAAGTCACTCTTTTCAGCACACAATACACTCTTCCTGAAAACAATCTGGCCAAAGCTTGCCTTCTAGTTTCTCCTCAGGGACTTCATGGAATTGCACAGATTTCTGTTGTGATTCAAAACCAGGACTCACAGAAAACAGCTAGTTTATGAACATGGTACTTGTTTGGCTTGTGTCTGGAAGCAGTGTCAAAGAGGTACACAAGCTGTACGTGGTATTTTGAATACACTCTCAGACTGCAAGTACAGCACCAAACTTCATTAAGACTCAAAGTGGATGTTGTCTGGACACTATTTACAGAGGACCTGGCTATGTTTGGGAGCTCTCACAACTGTACTGTCACTGCCCTTTTCATAAGCCCCTTAATTTGTCTTTTCACTTAAAGATGCAGACAAGCTTCTGCTGTGCCATCTAACCTTGGAAAATACTAACTCCTGCTCAATTGATAGCACATTTCCAGCAGAGTCTGAATTTGAGCCTTTGCCTGTTGAGTTCTTGTCCCAGGTGAACCAGAAGGTGCTGAGTTTTCCCTCAGAAGCATTTAAGTGCACTGCAGAGGGAAGAGGAGGCTTGGACATAGCCTACAACATTGCCTGCACCAACCTGTGCAAAGATAGGGTGGCTGCTTTCCCATCCTGGTGATCCAGGAATAAGAGGAGTTGAAGAACTGCTTTCCTTCCCAAAGCCATGTGTTTCTGGCCCCTGAATAAAGTGTGTGGATAAAATGTCTTCCATGCTCGGAGCTGCCACTTCACATGATGACTGGTGACAGACCAGGAGGTGGCTTCATGCCTCTGTGGTGTTTTCAGTATGGATGCTGGGGAGGTCTCCTAGAAAGGGGGTCTTCGAGGGCATCATCTTTGATGGGCAGAGGAGTCAAGCAAGGGATTAAGACTGGGAGGACCCTGAAAAGGTTTTCAGAAAAGGTGAGTTGACTAACTGATGAGCCTGAGTTCAAGCCTCCTGAACAGCAGTGATGTGAATGCGGCACAAATTCTCTTCAGCCTGGAACTTAACACCCAGTGAGAGCTGTATGAACTTAGGATTCAAACGCAGGAAAAAGGTCTCTTTGTGGGAAACCTGTTTAGAGGCTATGCCACAATATAGAGTTTATATCCAACTACAGATATGTTTAGGAAGGGAGAACATTAGTGTTATAGTCAATAGACCAGAGACAATGTTAAATATGTAAAAGAAATTTACTGAAGGCAGGTAAGCAAAACAGCGTGCTGGGCGACCAGGGAAACTCTTGTTCTACCAATGGTCTGCACCGTGACAAACCAACGGTCCATCTTTTATATCCCCCCCTCCTTTGTCTCCACCCCGTAAGTCTCTTTTGATTTCTTTATTGGGTTCCATTTTGCGGGCTCCCCGAAATTGGTCCTTGTTTTCGCGGGCTCCATCTCGCTACCTGGGTTCAGCCAGTGATTTGGTTAGGCTACAACCCTCAGAGACTGCCATGTGGAAGTTTCCAGATGGGGGGGTAAGTCTTCTCCTTTGGTTTTTGCTGTTTCCTTCTATTTTCCTTCCCTATAAGCATGCTTAGAACAAACACTTGTAGAATAACAAGACATACAAATTCATAACAATTGTGTAGTTAATCATCTAGCAATTGCAGCGCTGTGGTTTCCCTTTTTGTGACTGTCTAATTCATAACTCCAGCAAAGTTCTTGCTAGGTTTATTGCAACTTATTTTATTAAACTTAATTTGATGATCAAATTATACTTTTTGCTCTTTATCACCTATTACATTAGGGAAATACAAGTTTCTTGCAAAGCCCTTTTATTGGTGAAAAGTTCTGGATGGTATTGAAAGAGGTGTATGGCCAGCTCTTCTGCTATGAAAATTTGTAATGGAGCACCTATAGCAAAGCACCTTTCTTCAATCAAGGCCCAGAAATAACCATATTCATCTGTCTCCTTTTGTCCTAGGCTACATTTTTTGATTCATCCTACCAAAGCAATTAATTAATTAATTACAGGCTTATCTCTATACATGTACACATATTTCTCTAACAACTGTGGAACAAGATGCTCAGATGATGTAGAAACAGTAAATTCTGTGATGATTTTTTTGTGCTAAATAATAAATCTTGCTGGTAGATATAAATAAACCATATGGCTTATCAGGTTAAATACAAGTAGTGGAGTAATAGTGTTGAATTTGTGTATTGAATATTTATTTTATTTTTAATCACAAACTAATTTTCTCTACAGCACTAGGAATCAGTTGAATTATAGAAGGAGGATCTGAATATTTAATATAGTCAGGGAAGTTCAAAGAATACACAATTAGGCCTATTGCAGATTTTCAATACACTTACATTTCCTTATTGCCACAGAGGGGATGTAGATGCTTCCACTTTAAGTGACTACAGTACAGTATTTTTTGATCTTTGTAGCTAAGCCCTTTGAATAACTGTTTAAGGCTCTAAGATCTCTTTGGATTTGTCCCTATATCTTTAGGGTTATGAATAACTCTCAGGACAAGATAATTTCTTATCTTTTCCTAGTGAATCACCTTCAGGTTTCAGTGAATTGAAGAGCAGTTACTCTGCAGGAGGAGAGAATACTGCATTGTTGATAGAGCATTTTCAGTCTGAGCTGCTGTGTGTGGGTCTGCATTAAATTACTGCTCTGACAAAGTACCAATCCTGTCTCTGGAACCAAAAGTGCTGAGTAAGTTTTACAGTTGAAAAAAAAATGCAATTCCATTTCTCCTCTTTGACTTGAAAGCAGAGAGTTTAAGAAAGGCAGAGTATCACAGTATTCCGTCTGGAATATCCATCACAAAATACAGGGATGATTTTTACTTATTACAGCTATTATATATTTGCATATACTTATATAAAAAATCTATATATATTTATACATTAGTATAAGTGCACTTAATTAAGTGACTTAGTACGTGCACATAGGATAAGCTTCTTCTCTTGAGAACCCTTTGAGTTATTTCTCTCAAAATCATGTAAATGGCTTGATAGAAGAAAGTTTTCAGAAATTTCTTCATTCAGTATGAGCTGTAGAACTTTTCATTATTTAAAAGATATTCTGTAGCAGAGCCAGAACTGAACTTGGTGAGGGTCAGGTTCCAAAACAGCCTTATAGATCTTCTTTTTTTTCCAAGTTCTTTTTCTATTTATTTTTAATAAATAATGTAATCCTTTCTGTCATGGCTTTATATACCTTGGGAAGTGAAGAGAAAGAAATCTCTTGCATTTATCCATGATGCCTCAATAGATCTCATTGTGTATTTGTAAGAAAAGTGTACCAATTGTTCAGAGTTGGCTTGACTAAAAAGAGAGGAGAAAGGTAAGTGACAACCTTGAGCAATGAACCCCATCTAACTGGGCCATCCATACACTCTTTGTGCACAAGACACATTGGCCTTAAGCCAAAGCTGCTATTTTTAAAGACATTGCCCCAAGAAACACTTTCTCTCTTCCTCACAGTCTTGGGCCATATCAGCCATTGCCTCCCAGCAATGTTCAAAGGGGTTTTTGTAATCATCTAAAGCTATTTTTATGACTCCCTTCTTGGAAGACAAAAAAATGGGGGAGGGAAAGCAGATGAGATCCTCTTTTGCCACTGAAACCCCTGCACTATGCAGTCCTAGGAGGGAATTCTTATCCTGAGAGGATTACTGACTAAGTCTTATCAAATATTCCCTGTCTGTGACCTTAAACAGAAGCCAGTAGATAAGGAACTGTTATTTTATGAGGTGAGTCAAGTCAGATTTTCTGCCTTTCCCTACAACGTTGCCCAGAAGAAGCTGTAGTGACAGCTAACAGCAGAAGATAAGGAAGTGATTGACTAGTGTTTTCAGGAATATCAAGAATGTAGAGACTGCTTTGCTTTTCATCTCCCAAATGCTGCTGGCAATTCTTAGTGGGAGCTGTAGAAAACTGTACAGGAGGACAAATGGGGAATCAAACTTATTAGTAGTGCCATCAAGTTGGTTTCTGTAAAGCAGTCCTTAAGTCCTGCCTGAACATGTTCCTGCAGAGGACGGGTTTCTCCTGCTGTTGTGTGGGATGCACCAGACATATTACCTGTAAGTCACATCAGACAGTTCCCTGTCATGTTACCCACTAGCTGAAGAATAATACACAGTAAACAAGTAAGAAACACTACTGATGTGTACAGCTCACACCTTTGGTACATGTAGATGAGGTTAAGAGGAAAAGATCTATTTCTGTTGTATTTTGAAAGCTGTTCCAGCACAACATAGCACACTGTGCAGTTCCTGTGGGCATCCTATACTGCTTGTATGCCAACTACTCTTTCACCAGTAATTCGAAAACCTTGCATAAGATTTGATATAAATCTTATCTGATAAATAATAACCATGGCAGTAAACTTAGTACATCTTATTTAATTAGCAAGACATGGGTTAGCAGAAGGGCTTCAGACATTGGATGTATTGGGATGCAGGCATATCCTTCTCCCAGTAACACTTCCTGGGGAATTGCTTTCTGTGCTTCACAGGGTTCAGGTCCATTTGTAACACATCTTGTCTCTGTTAGCACCACCCTTCTGTTGACCTTTATGTCAATGCACACTTGGTTAACACAACAACTGATAATTGTCTGGAGATGA